CATTTTTTAAAATTATGCCTACAGTATTTGATCAAACTATTTATAAACTGAGCTTAGATTTTGTTAAGTAGTCGGTCTGATGATGCTTATTTGCAGGAAGACATGGTGTGTCTCTCTTGTACAGCCACAGGAGAACGTGTTTGCTTGGCTGCAGAAGGATTCGGCAATCGTCATTGTTTTTTGGAAAATATTGCGGACAAGGTATGGACAAACTGGCGTTAATCAGATAAATAAAATAATTTCAAACCGACATTAATCAAGAGCGAATTGGAATCGAAAATAGGGTATTTAATCAGATGTGCTTCTTCTAGATGAATTGACCCGCTTTAATCCTATTTTTTTGAAGATCGTGATCAAGAATTCGCTCTTAGGAAGGCACTCAAGCAATATTCGATTACTTATTAGTTTGATTGCTTCTTTTATCGTTTATCCACTCATTAGCTGCACTGATGATTTCGATCATCGTCTGTAAGAAAATTACTTTATTTAATGATTGAAGATCTAGTAATTTAAGGTTCGCATAATAAATCAGTTTCCGATCCACTGGGCGTTAAATTTTATAAATCCGTCTTTTGGAAAGGATGCGGTTTTCTTCGATAGAAAAATTTTTACTTACAATTCAAGAACGTAAGATCTATTTGTGGTAAATCACTGTTTTAACGGTTATTACGAAAAAACTCGTTTTCATGTTTTGAAGTCTTCTGTAAAAGACAGTTTGTGAAACTAATTACTTTCGGTTGTGCAGTGGTTTTTCTTAGTAAAACCTCATATTTGATCGATTTTTTAGAATATACCCCCCGACTTGTCTCAATGTGTCTGTGTTATTGAACAAGCTCTGTCGGTTCGGGCCTTGCAAGAGCTGGTAACAGCCGCTGGTAATGAAACCGTAAGTAATTTTCTAAAATATTTCTAATATATACTTTGATCTAACAGGAAATGTTGATAAACCCACTTAAAACAATGTTAGTTACCTTATAAAAGGTCATAATTATTATGAACTCAAATATACCTCCTTAAATAATATCACTGCTGTGTACATTTAACATACTTACAACACTATTTGTTTAAAGTTTAAACTTTTCCTGTGTTTATTCCACTCTACCTGTGTTTTCATGGCTTCATTTTTTTGCTTTTCAGGGCTCCGAGAATTTAGTAAGTAGTTTCTGGTCAAAATTTCGAACTAATAAATTTAATCAGTAATCTAACAATTTGGTGTATTATTGGAACATGATTGGCCGATTTGCTTTTGCTTTGATAATAATTGTTATCCTGGGAAAGTACTACTACACGTTCCTTTCTCAACGTAACGATCTTTGGCCACATATTAACCGTTTCAGGGTCGGCAGCTTGTATTCTGATTGGACAAATTAATGGAAACTTTATTATATGTAGTGAGTTTTTCAAATGTGAGAAGAAACAACTTCGAAAAATGTCTTTCAACCCATTCATAGGCAAAACGTAGAGACAAACAACAACAAACACATTTAAAGCTTGACATGTCGATTGAAAAACTCCTTAAATTAACAAAGCGCACAAAAATATAAACATTGCTTCAGAACAGTGCGAGATTGACTTTCATCCAAAAATCTGCAAAATCATTCTGGTCTCTGCAACATTCATCCAATTGATAAAAAGCCTGCCACATAAGCTGCTAAATGAAATTTTATGCTTGAAACATCACATAATTGAACATTTTGTCGCTTAAAAATTTTTTAAACCAACATATCAGCATATTTTGAAATAATATCGATATTTGGCAACATCAGAATCTTACATTTAATCTCGGTTTTGTTCCTACACCTACAGGATGTTACTTATATGTGTTTTTATCTTGTGTCGCAATTTTTAGCTAGAAAATAATTTTATCCGTCATTTTTACGTAAAAAAACGTATTTTTCTCTCTCGTCTTACACCAGCTGCTACTCGACGATTTCTCTTTCTCCACTCTAAGAAACATGCACTTTCTGCACTGTAACTTCTGCGTGAGGTTTAAAGGAAGACAATGAGGCAAATAAATTCATAAAAATTATTTTTTTTTGCAGAAGCGTAATAAATCTTACATCGTTTCTTCACTGAAGCTTCATTTACTGACTTGTGATGTCGGCAAGTTATTATCTGATCTACATACTGAGGAAGGGATATTGTTATCCTTATGGTAAGACGGAGCAAAAATTGCCAAATCTCGAAAATATTTCAAATGTTCTCAAACTCATAAAAAATAATTCACTCTCCAAAAGCGCATGAAATTCACAATATGCCTTCTTGTAACCTTCGCTCATTAAACGGTAAAGCCTGCATCCAAATATCTGGGCTAAATATTGAGTAGGAGCCATAAGGGTCGATGGTACAAGAATGGCCAAATCGTGAAAATATTTCGAGCGTTTCTAAATTTATAAACAGAAACTCACACGACAAAACCCGCATAAAGTTTACTGTGTACCTTCACGTAAATTTAGCCAATTTACCGGTCCACAATCCAATATATGGGCTAGATATTGAGAAAAAAGCAATAAGGAAAGATCACAAGAATTCTTAAATGTTCATACATTCACAAAAAACAACTCTCTTTCCCAAATAACATGAAATTCACAAAATATCTTCAATGAAGCACTGCTGATTGACTCGTGAAGCCAGCGTCCAAACAGCTGGTCTATATATTTAGGAGGAGCGATAATGCAGGATGGAGATGCAAGAATGGCCAAATCGTGAAGATATTTCGAAGTTTCTAAATTCATAAAAAATAATTCACCAGAGGAACTCGGATGACATTCACAACGTATCTTCCCGTAAGCTTTCCTCGTTAACCGGTGAAGTCCCCATCCCAATATGTGATGTAGATATTGTGGAAGAAGCAATAAAGGAAGATGATGCAAGAATGAAAAAATCGCAAAAATATTTCAAATGATTCCTAACTTCACAAAAAATAGCTCACTAGCCCAAACAGCATTTAGACCATAAAATGGCTTCAATGAAGTTTTGCTCAATGACTGGTGAAGCCCGCATCCCCATATCTTGGCTAGACCAATGTCTAGCATTGGAAGAAGGAGCCATAAGAGAAGACTTTGGAAGAATGTTCAAATCGGGAGAATCTTTCAAACGTTCCTCTTCAAATTCATCAAAAATAAACCACTCAAATGCTGAAACTACATGAAATTCACAACATAAGCTCATTAACCGTTGAGGTTCGCATCGCAACATCAATCAGGTTTAAATGTTGAACATTTAAATAAATTAGCGATGTCGATTGTGTCAATTTTCCAGGTCTTTTCACTCAAAAAACTCACTATGTATGGTTGAATCCAAAATGCTGATTTTATTTCAGCAGTTGCTTGATCTTAAGTTTAATCATGATGCGAGTGCCGGCTTTTAACGTCCAATTCCTTCTTTCTCTTGTTGGTAAATTAGTTTACAATGTTGTAGTTAATGTTGTACTATTATGGCCTTTTATAACATTATTTAATGCCGTAGAACTGCGATTCTAACATTGTCCAGAGACTGTCGATATAGTTCTTCGAACATAACACACGTAAATGCGCATTTTGGCTTTTTTGTTTAGTAGGCATTGATTGAGTTGATAAATCTTTGTTGAGCAACAATACCGGCATTAACTTGTCGTTGTAGAAAGTTTCGGTTTTCGGTATGTATTGGTGTTAAGTTGCACTCAAAATCTAGTTTCACACATTTTTACAATACCTGGTGGCAACTGTATGTGATTGGGGTTAGTTGGGGCGTTTTCTAATCAGCGATGATTTTCACTTATAGGGAAAAGGAACGGGATCAGGACATCGCACTTTGTTGTACGGAAATGCTATTCTGTTGCGGCATCAAAACAGTGACATGGTAAGAGTCTCTTTGGCTAGAGAATGGCTTTAAAGGCTGATTCTATTTTGTGACTATTGTTTTAGTATCTAGCGTGTTTATCTACGAGCTCAAGTAACGACAAATTGGCTTTTGATGTCGGTTTACAAGAACATAGTCAAGGAGAAGCCTGCTGGTGGACAGTTCATCCCGCAAGCAAGCAAAGGTATGTGAATATGTATATTTCAACTCACTTGGGAAGTTTTAGTTTAATGCTTTTGAAGAAAATGTTGGTGTTCTAAGGTTATAAATAAGAGAAGATTCTTATCACCAACAGCAGTTAAAAATATCTTTGCTCGGTAACTTCAGTATCGGCATATTTCTTTGGAAAACTTGGTTTTTGCACAGTTAAAACTTAGCAGTTCAATATGAAATAGAATCGATATCAACTGCAATTTTTTGATAAAATGTTCAATAGGTTTAATTCTTTTTATTAAATACGAATTAATATGTTAACTTTATTATTGCAGATCTGAAGGTGAAAAAGTAAGAGTGGGTGACGACTTGATTTTGGTTTCGGTTGCCACCGAACGATATTTGGTAAGCCCCATCAAATAGCAGCCAAATTGAATTTGGACTGTGAATATTTCCGCAGTCACTGATCCGATTTGAATATTTTTATCGAATTACGGCTCTATTTTTGGACAAAATTTTACTTGTAAAATAATATATTGTAATCTTTAATCGTCTGTTTAGAGACATTAACTTTTTATGTACGTGCTTGCACTTTTTGATTTGGGAAGAAAATTTCTGGAGAAAAGACTGTGCAAACAAGAAAACATTTTTCACTGATGTTACAACGCAACTTTTGTACCAGAATGGACCAAAAACTTGGACTAAGTTTAAGCCCTAAGTCCAGTATAAAACATATAATAAAACTAGTGCCTGTTTCCAGCATACAACTAAAGAAAACGAGCAGTCCATAGTGAATGCCAGCTTTCATGTGACGCATTGGTCAGTGCAGCCCTATGGAACGGGTATTTCCCGTATGAAATATGTAGGATATGTTTTTGGTGGAGACGTTTTGCGATTTTTCCATGGAGGCGACGAATGTCTCACTATACCGTCCTCGTGGAGCACTGAAGAAGCACATAAGTAAGACCAGTTTGCATTACGAATTTAATCGTCCAAGAAATAAAATAATGGTAGTTGCTTTGATTTCCACTTACACTCCAATGTAAGCATGCCTAAACAACAACAAATCCTTCAGTACAATAATAAAAAAATAATGCGCTCCGCATTGTTTTTAGTATAGTGATCTATGAGGGCGGAAGTGTGATGTCTCAAGCCCGATCTTTGTGGCGATTGGAACTAGCCAGAACAAAATGGGCAGGAGGTTTCATCAACTGGAGTCATCCAATGAGAATAAGGCATATTACTACTGGACGATACCTTGCTGTGAATGAGAGTAACGAATTGTACCTAGTCAGCAGGTGAGAAATTGCGACACATTTATGCAGGCTGTTCCATCAAAAAACTATAAGATTTTAAGACACAATTTTCATGAAGGGCCGCTATTAATGCCAATATCACAAAAAAAAATTCAAATTTATACTCCAGTTAGCCGTACTCTTCCACTCCCTTTTAGTTCCACTCCACTGCGTACTGGGACTTATTGTTTATTAAAATAAATCAAACTATCAACATTCTGTCAATGAATTTTAATCAGGAAAACTAATGAAAGTTCATTGCATACTATACATATGTGTTCATGGTTACAAAAGTTCAAAGACTGTAAACTTGAGCGAAAAAGTGGAAAAATCGGCAGCGGCAAAACATGCCCTGAGTGAAGGAACAACACAAAGAGGCAAAACAAACCACTTCAATCCACACAAATTTCTAGACCACAAGCATTTCTAGATCACAAAAATCACAACCCAAATCTAGGAATACGACAAACATTGGCAAAAATTTATGAAAGAGATGCAAGATGATTTTTCGGAGCGCAGAAAAAAGTGTGGAAAATGATACAAAATCAAAAGCGAGACATAAACAAGTTTTTAAGATAGAAATTCGCCAACTATAAGATCGAACAGAATATTTTACCAACTTTTGTTGAAGCTCCAACGAAGAGCAAACATTAGAAATTGGTCACAGTTAATAAAATAACCACAGAACAAATTCAAATTCGCATCAGAAATACAAATAGAGATAACAAAATGTTGAAATATAGTGAAGATCAGCTTCTGGAGCACGAAACCCTCCAACAAAACATTAAAAAAAAAAAAAAAAGATGGAAAAATCCCGGACAACTATTGCGGTATTACTTGATTGAGAATAATTCGAAAAATGTTTACCTCAATTTTGAGGCACTCTGAAGTACAAGTTGTGCAATTTATGTTCTGAATAACACATGATTGAAATGCCCGCCAATGGACCCAATTTTCCATGATTTTCCCAATTATATACTGTAATTTCAGCAATATTTAACTTCTTTGCGTCAATTTTCCGATATTTGTTCGCATAGAACAACTCCAGGGGAGTTAAATCACAACTGCTTGGAGGTCAATTTCCGGAGATTATTGATTCTCCGAATTTTTCTTGCTTCCAACGTGTGGGCTTCTTTCTTCTCACCATTCTCAGTAACCAAAACAACAGTTTTTTTGCAAAAATATGCTCCAATGATCTCTTCACTCTATAACCAACTGCACTAAACAGCAACTTTTTTTGGATGAATCTCTTGTAGATTCTTTTCCCATCAGAATCAACATTTTTTTCACAAAACTATTCAGCCAAAACAGTGCTTCATGCATTCGTGCCGAAAATATGATTTTTTTTCAAATTCTGGGTTAGTTTAAATCTGATCTGAATCCAAACTTGCCAAAAAACTACGCTTTTGATGGTCAAATGGCGTTAGTTCGTTTTTGGGAGCCAATAGAGTTTGGAAAGCGAGAAAGTGAACGAAAAAAGACCTCTGGGGTTGCGAATAACAAACGAGTAGAAGGAAGAGAAAAATATTATAATTCTATGAAAATATTATCTGGCTTTCCCATAAATCTTGATATTCATTAGAAAAATGTATACTTTCGGTTGCTTCTGTCCACTTAACGCGCTTAAGACAACAGGCATCCCCATAATTTAATGAAGAAAAAATGATTCGCTTGCGCGCCAAAAGACCATTCCTGTTACATCAAAAAATTTAATGTTTTGTTGTTTTGCATTGCAATAGAGATGTTTAATCAACAACAGTAATAATTATCTGATTTAGAATAGAGTACACATACCATTAATAATTGGAATAAAAACAGAAATAGTAACGTTGAGTAACAAAAAATTACTTTTTTAAGAGGTGTTAGGGTGTAAAGAGAATGGATACGGAGACAGAACATTTTAACTTTACACTGTTGAATTTTTTTAAAGGGAAGAAGCTACAACAGCATTGACGGCTTTTTGCCTCAGACATGAAAAAGACGATCAGAAAGTGGTACTAGAAGACAAAGACTTAGAGGTAATCGGTTCGGCCATAATTAAGTATGGTGACTCGACCGTCATCGTGCAGCATTCTGAGTCTGGACTGTGGTTGTCTTACAAGGTATAAACGTTAAACTACTGAATAATTATACATCGGCTTAAGAACTTTGGCAAAATTACACCGCAACACATATACATAAAATGTTGAACTTAGGCATATGAGACGAAGAAAAAAGGGGTGGGCAAAGTCGAAGAAAAGCAAGCAGTTCTCCATGAGGAGGGCAAAATGGACGACGGTTTAGACTTCAGCAGAAGTCAAGAGGAGGAATCGAGAACAGCTAGAGTGATTCGGAAGTGCAGTTCTCTATTTACTCAGTTTATTAATGGGCTGGAAAGTTTGCAAGTCAATAGACGACACTCGATGTTTTTCCAAGTAAGCCAGCAGTCATTGCTGTGTTATAATCTGTATAAAACCAAAAATGATTGCTTCTCAGGTGGTTCATTTAAACGAAATGGTAATGTGCTTAGAAGACTTGATTAATTATTTCGCGCAACCTGAAGACGACATGGAGCACGAAGAAAAGCAGAATCGGCTGCGGGCCCTGCGAAACAGACAAGATTTGTTCCAGGAAGAAGGCATTTTGAACCTTATCCTAGAGGCAATTGATAAAATTAACGTTATCACGTCTCAGGGGTTTCTTGCAGCTTTAGCGGGCGACCAAAGCTGGGAAATGATATCCGGGTATCTCTATCAGCTTTTAGCAGCCATAATTAAGGGAAACCACACGAATTGTGCCCAATTCGCGAATTCCAATCGGTTGAATTGGCTGTTTTCCAGGTAAGCATCGCGCTTGATCTATAAAAAAAGTCAATAAAATTGGAAAATTGTTAGGCTGGGCTCTCAAGCTTCGAGCGAAGGAACCGGAATGCTTGACGTGCTCCACTGCGTTCTGATCGATTCACCAGAGGCTCTTAATATGATGCGAGACGAACACATTAAAGTCATCATTTCCCTTCTGGAAAAACATGGTCGCGATCCAAAAGTCCTGGATGTGTTGTGTTCCCTCTGCGTCGGTAACGGTGTAGCTGTTCGAAGCTCACAGAACAATATCTGCGATTATTTGCTACCCGGCAAAAACCTGCTTCTTCAAACTCAATTGGTCGATCATGTGGCCAGCGTTAGACCCAACATTTTCGTGGGCAGAGTGGAGGGCAGTGCAATTTACCAAAAGTGGTACTTCGAAGTCACGGTGGATCATTTGGAGCAAACCACTCACATGATGCCGCATCTGCGAATTGGCTGGGCGAATTCTAAGGGCTACATTCCCTATCCGGGCGGTGGTGAAAAATGGGGCGGAAATGGTGTTGGAGACGATCTGTACTCGTTTGGGTTTGATGGGGCTTTTCTGTGGACTGGAGGACGATGCACCCAAGTTGTGGGCAATGTTGTGGAACCGTATATTAGGAAAAGTAAGTAAATGTTTTGCTTCCCGATGTTAATCTGAAACCAATGGCTTTTCAGAGCTGCGAACAGGGGCGGATCCAGCTTTAAATTCAGGGGAGGGGGTTATGTAGAAAAAATACAGTCTTCTGTTGTCTATGAAATTAGAAAAATTATCGTCGTTTGGTGCAAGGGTGGCGAAAGATTATGCCAAAATTTAATGTTTTCCGTCCCGTTTTTGCTCATATCTCGGAGGCAAAATGAGCAAGAACGCTCATTCGTACATCATTCTAGACAGAAATAAATGTCCTTTTTAGAAACTGAACCATGGATGGGGAATTGTTGGCAGTTTTCTCAAAAAATGCTTGAATTCAAGAAGTTTTAGATTTGCGTGAATTTTTTGTTGTTGCAAAATCCACTTGAACATGACGCTGCTTTTTACAAAGATTCTCAAGAAGCATTCGAGCTATAGAATTCGTTTTGACATCGATCAGACACTTAGGTGCAAGATTATGCCAAAATGTCATGTTTTCCGTCCCGTTCTTGCTCATTTCTCGGAGGCAAAATGAGCAAGAACGCTTATTGGTACGTCATTCTAGAGAGAAATAAATGGGCTTTTTAGAAAGTGAACCATTGATCAGAAAATATTGGCAGTTTTTTAGCAAGTGAATCATCGATAAGGAAATGTTGGTAGTTTTTCAAAAAAATGCTTGAATTCAAGAAGTTTTAGATTTGCGTGTTTTTTTTTCGAGTTGCAAAATCCACTTGAACATGAGGCTGCTTTTTTCGAAGTTTCTCAAGAACCGTTCGACCCACAGAATTCGTTTTGGCATCGTTGGATATAGAATTGAAGTCGATTCAGTCGTAACAACGTGAGTGAGGAAATTCGAGTAGTTTTGACACAGAAATCGAAATTTGAATATCAGACACTTAGGTGCAAGATTATGCCAAAATTTAATGTTTTCCGTCCTGTTTTGCTCATATCTCGGAGGCAGCGTTCTTGCTCATTTGTACATCATTCTAGAGATAAATAAATGGCCTTTTTAGAAAGTGAACCATGGATGGGGAAATGTTGGCAGTTTTCCCAAAAATAGCTTGAATTCAGGAAGTTTTAGATTTGCGTGGTATTTTTTTGAGTTGCAAAATCCACTTGAACATGGCGCTGCTTTTTTCGAAGTTTCTCAAGAACCATTCGAGGCACCGAATTTGTTTAGGCATCGTTGGAGAGAGAATTGAAAACTCGATTCAGTCGTAACAACGTGAGTGAGGAAATTCGAGTAGTTTTGACACAGAACGCGAAATTTGAAGATCAGACACTTAGGAGCAAGATTATGCCAAAATTTCATGTTTTCCGTCCCGTTTTTGCTCATTTCTCGGAGGCAAAATGAGCAAGAACGCTCATTTGTACGTCATTCTAG